AAAGTTGCACAATTCATGATGTCAAACCTTGGGAAGTATCTAGATATCCCTGCCCTAATGCCAAAGTAACTGGCAACTGAATATGTGTCGCCGTTTGATGTCTATGTCTGGACCGCTGCGTAAAAAGGAGGGTTTCTGCCCCGTTACTTCTCCGCTGTTTTCTTGTCGCTCTTGTCTTGTCAGTTAGAAAAGCAAACTGTATACAGTTTGCTTTTCAGCCAAAACTGTATACACAGTTAAATCGACCGGACTTCTTTGTGCAGATGTGAGCGTCCTTAACAACGGTCAATAAGTCCTTGACAGCGGTCTGTCTGTTCTGGAGTAACAACGTGTCACGTGTTCTGAATTGACCAATCAGAATTGAGTATTCAACTAAGCCATGTAATAATGTTTGTTGTTCACCGTTGATGTTAAAAAGACCATACTTCTTTCTGCAAATTCCTATTACTGCACATAGTCCCTTGATCCTCCTTAGCAACGGTCTGTTCTCCTTAGCAACGGTCTGTTAGCAAAAAATGAACAACCTCTGTAATGTCGGAATTGAGTAGAATCTTTAACCAGTTTCAGATCTTATTAAATGTGCAGTCTTTGTTTTCTTTTCTCTTTTGTTAACGTCATACTTAAAGGGGACCTATCATGCAAAATGCACTTTGTGATGTCTTCTCTACATAAAGATGTGTCCCCGGTGTGTCGGGGAACTCACGCAGCGTCAGAAAATAAAACCCTCTCTCTTTTCCTCCGTACCCAAATCTCTAAAAACGGGGGAACAACGGAGCTGATCCAGATTAGCGTCCGATATGATGTAATATCTGAAATGTGGACCCACGGCCCTATCAGAAACGTTGCTATCAGAAACAATGCCCGACTGTTTTGGACGTAATATGGTCGGTGTTTACATTAGCATCGCTAACACTCAGAGCTAACCTGTACTGGAGAGCATGTGTGTGAAGAAGCAGGAAATAAAAAGGAACTCACCTTGTGGTATAACCGGCAAGAGAGAAAGCCTTTGAGCTCCATACTGTTTCAGAGAGAATCCTTGATAATCCATGATATGGCGTTTCATCACAGCAGCATTTAGTTTAGACAGTAGCTGCCGGGTCCCGCATGAGCTCAGCCCCCTCCTTTTTTAAAGCTTTATACCCAGAATCAGCACTTTAGAAACAGGAAGTGAAATAGAGGGATATGAGGCATGGCTAGAATGGGTGATCTGTTTGGTATTTTGAGCAAAACACTTCATAGACATGTTTTTTATATATATTTATATATCTGAGACCTATGCTATTGCCTAAAAATAGCATGATAGGTGACCTTTAAGACAATAGAGGCCAAAATAAAGAATACGAACTTATCTCTTTGCTACTTCAAAAGAGGGGCTGCATTTCTCATATCATGCCATATCTTAAAGATTAGCACTTCAGTTAGATACCATGATTGTGGTTTAATTCTCTTTCATGTCCTGCTGTGTCTCCATATAGAGGTCATACGTTTCTCTTTGCTGTTCTCTACCTTTATGCTAATCCATTATGACTGCTGCTCACACTGTATTGATTGATTCAATCGGACACACCCAGAGCCCTTTGTTCCCGATTTGACTTCAAAATTGGATGGCTCTAAATCTTTAATTGATGTGATTTATTTTGAGAATTGTTGTGATTTACACTCACACAATTCCCCCCTGCAATTCCTCTGATTGGTCCTGATTAGTTTTGAGTAATGCCTGTTATACAAACTTACTGCAATGCTCCCCTACTCTGTATTTCCTAGCAGGTGGATAATAATTGCAAGAGAAGTACAATCTGAAAACGTAGCTTCCAGACAGTATTTCAAATCGAGGTGGTTTCATATCTGCCCCGAGGAAACACTTGCATATTGTATTTCCAAGAGTAGACATATCTGCTTAATATTTTAACGAAGGCATGACAGATTTCTCGACAGTCATTGTGGTAGCCATTTCCTGTGACTCATAGTTTATTCAGCAGTGTGATGATAATGTCATCCAAAATCCCGGCTGTCGACGTGTTTAATTACAAAAGCCTGGCGACGTTTTTTCCCACAATTCTCATTCCCCATGGCTTCACTTTCTATTTTCTCCTCTCCTTTGATTCAGTGCAAGGAGCTGTGAGTTTATGAATATTTAAAGTGTGTTGTTCACAAAATCTTTATTTAATGCTGCCGACATTCACGGGGCCTCTTGGAGGATTTTTAAACGCTTTGGTTATGAATCAAGCAGAGACGTGTTGTTTCCCACCGTGAGCGTGCATTTTCCCCTTCTGTTCAAACCTCACCTGCACAGACAGAACATATGCTTTATTCAGGTGATGTCTCCTTCAGGTGAGGCTCCTGGCTCAAGTGGATGCAGCTGAGTCATTCGTCTCACACAGAACATGGTTGGGGGTATAATTTAGGAGTCGGGTATGGTGAGAAGGCGAAAAATGTGCAGGCTGCGGGATGAGGCCAATCAGCAGCTTCTGTTGCTTATTGCTAAAGAAACGTGGTAGTAGCACTGGCTTCTTTATTCATGAGAAACCTACAGACACAAGACGAGGCACGGCTCATTTTCTCCCGGTCTCACTCTGCATAAAATACACAGTCAGTGGATTCAAGATTCAAGGCTTTTATTTAGGGATGTCCCGATCACCTTTTTTTGCTCCCGATCCGATTCAGATCATTTGATTTTGACAATCTGCCGATACCGATTTTTCCCGATCCGATCTTTATGCAATGCATTAAGAGAAAAAAAAGGTAACAGATAACGGCTGGTCATCCAACGCGATGAATTTCAGCTATCTTGGCTGTTATTGTTTTGGCCTTTTCACTGTTCTGGGGCAGTTTCTCTTTCCTTTTAAAAGTCTCTGAAAGTGTCGGTTGTTTCAGTGCCGTTACCTGAGTGGCCGCTGTGTACTCGTTGTGTTGTTGGTGGTGTTTGTATTAGATTGGTCATGTTGAACGTAGCTCTGTTCTTTCCACCACGCGGAACCTCCGCCTTGCAAACATTGCATCTGGCTGTTACACTGCCTTCGCTTTCAATTTTATAATACTTCCAAACTCCTGACATTTTCTCTGTCCCGACTCCCGAGTCACCAGCTGAACGTAGCCTCTTGTTAGCTTACTGCTACTATTAGACACTGCGCCCACTCTGTTGCCAGATTTGAGAGAAATAAGCAACCAGGTCGATGAAAACAAGCCCAAAAGAAGCAACACATACATGATGTTGTGTAATTTTAACCCAAAACTAAGGCCTCAGGATGACTTTAAGATGTGAACATGGTCATTTTTGTTTTGTAACATTAAATAAAAGAATAAAAAAAAAGTATTAAAAAAAAAAAAAAAAAAAAAAAAAAAAATTCCGATCCCCGATTTTTTTTCTCCCGATTCCGATCTTTTGAAAATCACGTGATCGGCTCCAATCCCCGATCACGTGATCGGATCGGGACATCTCTACTTTTATTGTCATTCGTACATAGCTCCAGTGTCGTTATGTCCATGAAAATCTGAGGTCCCAGGCTCCTCCAACAGTGCAACACAATAAAACAGATAAAATAGTGCAAGTACATACAATAAAATAGAATAGAAGGTGGTGTATAGGTGGAAGTCAGTGACGTGCGGTGAGGTTCATGGCTGGTGAGGCACTGACTCACTGAGTCAGATTTACAAATATTATATTTTGACCTTAATCGAAATATTCTGTTATTTTCAAAAGCTTTTTTAGTCTGATGCTTCGATTCATTTTAAACAGACCGTTCAACAAAAGGATACCCAAAATCTAAATATTGGATTGTTCTTTCTTAGTAAGATCCCATGTTCATTAGAAATGTGGTCTTACCTTGACTTGAAGATGAAGTCCATGCTATCCTTCTGGACAACAATCTCTATTACTGTTTTGTAAAAGTCCTCCTTATCTCCCTCTAGTTTCAAAAGTCTAGTTTGTTGTTTGCGGTAGAATAACAGTAGCAACAAGAACCTGTGGGCTCACGTGCGCCCCCTTCAGTGCGGCAGAGGTTATGGCTGCCTCTCCTGGTGCTTTTTTCATTGCCGTTGTACGATGAGACCAGCGAGCCTAAATATCATATATACGTGAAATAAGTTATTTAGAGACTATGGATGGCGAGGATAAATGTAATAAAGGGATCTACATACATTACATTGGTGACCTACAGTGAGATGGGAACAGGCATGCGCTTAGGGCCCGCTTTCCAGCCAGTTTCTGTGGGGTGACGCATTCTGAGGTGAGGCAGAGCTCATCTGTGCCTCACCTCACCCCACAGTAACTGGCTTGCGGAGCTCGCCAAATTTGCTGATTTTGACTATAACATGCGATTGGAATCAAACATAAATCACACTTACAACACAGATCAGTGGAGACATTTTATTATTATTACTATTTAGTTTTTCTTTAGTTGTTTTTCCGTTACATTGGAGTATGACAGGTGAGGCTCTGTCTCCCCTGCCTCCCCTGACTGCACGTCGCTGGTGGAAGTAGTACTCAGATATTGTTATAATTTATTATCTTTATATATTTTATTTTGGGACGGATAGTCTTTATTGGAAAGTGACATTAATATAAGATTAATTTGTATTAATCTCTCCAGACTGAGCTACTGCCTTCCCAAAGAGAGGATGAAATGCAGTATTGACATCAAAATATAGTTAAAGTAAAGTACTTATTGTGGGTAATGGCCTATTTCAAAATCGATGTACAGTGTGTGTTTATATGTGTATATATAATCTATCAATCTGAATCTGTAAAGTCAATACAACTGTCAATAATTGTATGTTAAAAGTGTGCTAATGACCTCTGGTTGTTTAAAAGCCTAATTTTGTTTCCCATTTCCAACAATATTTGCTTCCAACATTTTAAATCTTAGCTTGACCCCTCTTGTCATCTTTTATCCCAGCAGGTTCAATTAAACCCCCGAAATGCGTTGTTTTTCATTTCCAGAATCCAGTTTGATTAAATTTGTTTGTATTTAACGTGCCTTTATCTTCCTGTGTGTGTACAGAGAAAGTGTTCGGGGAGTTTCTGAGCTGGGATCTGGACGAGGCGTTGTCTCACCTCCCTCTGAAGTGCGGCCAGGCGTTAACGCTGACCGTCAGAATCAAAGTGAAACTGGACTTCTCCGGCCAGGAGAGCCTTCTGCAGGACCTCAACGATGGTGAGTGAACACACACCGGCTTCATTAAGAGTATACCTGCTTATTGTAGCGGTAAAAACTCCCTATGAGTTATGCCGCTGAGAGGCTAAAAGTTGCTCTTTGCTGTGACGCGTTCCATGTAAGAGTCCGTAGTCATTTGTACTCCATAGTGTTTCATAAAACGAAAAACGAACTATATACAACTCCAGACCACAAAAGAAAGTATCAGAGCAAATTCCCCCTCTTCCTAAGTCATATCCCCAAAACCGGCATCCATCAGGTGGCCTACAGTAAATACCAATAAACCACACCCACGTGACCATTGCTGGAAGTGATAAACAATAATAATTAAACGTGATGCAAACAGAAATGAAGATAATAATATAAATAATAACAATGGCAAAACGAGCATTTTGATTCCTCCACTGCTGATAGTTTTAGTTTAGTGGACAGTCCTCATTGATCAACTGTCACACTGTCATATTTATTTTGCAAACAGAATAACAACACATGTCATTGTTCCATTTTTGTACACTGCACTTATTCACTTAAAAACATGGATTGGTACAAAGCCTACAGTATATATTCATATGGCTGCCGTCACACTATTATTCAAAGGTTGCAATACAGGCATTGAACTAAACCATGGCCAACAAATTGGTCATCTTTTTCTAAATTTGGCATTTTGTGGTTTCCATTTGATGGATTCCTGAACAGAGGGATGGACAGTAAATGGACGGTTGCTTTTATACGGTGCTTTTATTGAAAGTGCTTTACAATCCGCTTCTTATTCTACCGTTTACATGCACTCTCGAACCAAGGGCACTGGCACGTTGGTGTCTTTCTCAAGATGAGTCCTGTCTGGTAAACAACATCCAGCATTAAGTCGAGAACCCACTGAACCTGAGCCTCATGTGTTTACAACAAGAGAGAGATTCATTTTGAACAAAAACAGTAAATGGGGCAGCTTTAGCCAACATTGCTCATTTCCAGCTGTTGTCCCCGGTCAGATGATAATAGACACTTTTTAAAATCACAACACATCAACAGCATAGTTATAAAGACAGGATGAAAGATGCTAGCGCTAGTTATTAAAGGGGCCATATTCAGCTGATGTTCAGGTGTTTATCAGTATGTAGTGTCTCTACTTTAAGAGTCCTCTCCTCCTGATGTTCAGGTGTATATCAGTATGTAGTGTCTCTACTTTAAAGAGTCCTCTCCTGCTGATGTTCAGGTGTATATCAGTATGTAGTGTCTCTACTTTAAAGAGTCCTCTCCTGCTGATGTTCAGGTGTATATCAGTATGTAGTGTCTCTACTTTAAAGAGTCCTCTCCTGCTGATGTTCAGGTGTATATCAGTATGTAGTGTCTCTACTTTAAAGAGTCCTCTCTGCTGATGTTCAGGTGTATATCAGTATGTAGTGTCTCTACTTTAAGAGTCCTCTCCTGCTGATTGTTCAGGTGTATATCAGTATGTAGTGTCTCTACTTTAAAGAGTCCTATCCTGCTGATGTTCAGGTGTATATCAGTAGTAGTGTCTTACTTTAAAGAGTCCTCTCCTGCTGATGTTCAGGTGTATATCAGTATGTAGTGTCTCTACTTTAAAGAGTCCTCTCCTGCTGATGTTCAGGTGTTATCGTATGTAGTGTCTCTACTTTAAAGAGTCCTCTCCTGCTGATGTTCAGGTGTATATCAGTATGTAGTGTCTCTACTTTAAAGAGTCCCTCTCCTGCTGATGTCAGGTGTATATCAGTATGTAGTGTCTCTACTTTAAGAGTCCTCTCCTGCTGATGTTCAGGTGTATATCAGTAGGTAGTGTCTCTACTTTAAAGAGTCCTCTCCTGCTGATGTTCAGGTGTATATCAGTATGTAGTGTCTCTACATGTCTCCATGCTTTAATGTTCAAAAAGCTCTTTATTTGTCTCATACTGCCTGTGCTGCAGCACCTCTTTTCACCCTCTGTCTGAAACCAGAGCCCAGTCTGCTCTGATTGGTTCGCTGGCCGGCTTATAGATGTCCCGCCCCTTTGAAATAAAATTGTCATTTATTTCATTACTTTATATTGGATCGTATTTTCTTATTTTAGTTTTGCGTGCCAACCTCTTAGCGATACACTGCCACCTAGTTTCCCTATGTTTATCATTAATTAAGCAAATACAAATTCAACTTTTTGGTGATATTGTGTTAAAAAACGTTCTTTTTGGATAATGCTAGTGGGATTGTCAGGAAGTCGAACTAACTAAATCAAAGAAAGACTTGTAAAATATAACAAATGTTGATAAACTGCATACTTTGCATTTAAAAAAGGCAATAAATTGCAACGTATCGCAAAAATATTTACGCGATACTCATTTTCCATATTGCCAAATGTTTCAAATCACAATAATATACTATTGTGACTTCAGTATCGTGCTAAGATCGTCTCGTGGTGCATCCTGTGAATGCCATTCATACAGTTGGATACAGAAATAAGAGTTTAATGTGCAGCTGTACATGATGCACTGTGTTCAAATGATTCTGTGTGCCTTATTTAAGATGCAGCAGAGATATCTCAAGGTGTCTACACCTCCATTTCTCTCCTAGCTCTCGCCTTCCTCACATCAGTCAGATCTGCTCTTTTCTAATTCTTATTCCTGGTTTAAAAGAAATGTTCTGACCTCCTCTCATACCTCGAGACTCCATCGAGTATTTCCCATCCTCAGCCTCCTTTCTTTCCCGTCTCTCACCTTCTTCACACTGTTGAACCTCCTCACTACCGTCTGATACATATTAATGTGTTCAATATGGATCCTGCAACACACACCACTAGTGGTGTGTGTGTGTGTGTGTGTGTGTGTGTGTGTGTGTGTGTGTGTGGGTGTGTGTGGTGTGTGTGTGTGTGTGTGTGTGTGTGGTGGTGATGTGTGTGTGTGTGTGGGTGGTGGTGTGTGTGTAGATGTGTGTGTGTGTGTGTGTGTGTGTGTGTGTGTGTGTGTGTGTGTGTGTGTGTGTGTGTGTGTGTGTGTGTGTGTGTGTGTGTGTGTGTGTGTGTGTGTGTGTGTGTGTGTGTGTGTGTGTGTGTGTGTGTGTGTGTGTGTGTGTGTGTGTGTGTGTGTGTGTGTGTGTGTGTGTGTGTGTGTGTGTGTGTGTGTGTCTGAGTAAGTAAATACAAGCAACGCTGCATGTTTATCTCCGCCTCAGTGCCTCTCGCCTCATGAGGTCATTTAAGCCGCACTGACTGTTTCAATGTTTTAATTAGCAGTGCAATAATTGGGACTCTGAATTAAGGAGATAAGGCACGGCTCTGTCTAAACAGCAGCTCTGAATTCTGTTATTGTGGTGACATTATGCATCGTCGTTTTTGCTGAACAAATTTGATGCTATCTACAACTCTATTTCATAAATAACATCAAACAATAACGTTTTGTAGCATACTGATAAGCTTATTTGCATAGCGACAGTTGTTTTCACCATCAAGGAGGTTGGGTTTGAGGTTGGGTTTCCTTTTTCTCCTGTCAGCCGTATTATGTAAAACTACACCTCCAAATTTCATGAACAACTTATTATATATTTTTATTTTCTTCTATATATGGAAACAGCCGTGTGCTCTTTGTAAGCCCTTTTTAGTTTGCTTTGTTCCAGTCTTTGCTCCTGTGTGCTGCCTCCTTACACATTAAACATCATGACTATTATAATACACAATGGATGCTCTCAACAACTGTTCAATCATGGTCACATGTAAGGCTACCACATTGTCCCCATTAGTGAATCATTCCCTTGTTAGAGGCAACGACACAACAGGCTTTTTACCTGAGTATCTTTACTTAAGAGTTATTGTAAAAGCTAAAGGTGCAACCAGGTAGAGTTGGCATTTTTTGTAATCATTTTATGACCAATGGAACAGTTCGCATTAGTGTTGCACGGTGTACCGATACTTGTAAGGTACCGCGATACCCTGCCGTTAAAAACGTTACGATTCCTCCGTTTCATTAGTATCGGTACTTTAAGAATGACGGGGAAAAGTACTAAGCTGTTTAATAAGAGCCGTGTGTGTTCAGCGCTCTGCTTCCACTCCCTGCAGCCGTGCCTGCAGCCCCTCCCCTCTCAAGCACGCTCTAAGTGCCTCCCCTCTCTCGTGCACGCGCTAGCTGCCAGAGCATGTGAGGAAACGAGAAGCATGGCAATGATAACTGTCTAATATGGCTATCTGTTTAGCTAACTTACCAATGTGGCTAACATCTGCAATGTACATTTAGTCAATAATTATTTATATTACTGTACTATTACATGTTAATAAAATATAAAGTTAACTATCAAAGAAATCACATAAACTCAAGTATAAAGAAGAGACCATGTTGGAAGAAAACACTTAACAGATAAACTACAATTTTATTGATCATGAAAATAATAAAAGAAAAGTATCGAAAAATAATCGGAATCGCAATTCTTGACTTGGTATCGAAACCAAAATGTTGGTATCGTGACAACACTGGTTCGCAGTCAGCCTGTGATATTTCCTGTTTAAAGATACAGTTTGATACGTCCTCTTCCTATTGGCCATCTTGCCAATTAGTGGTTGATTGTGTCTGTGAAGTTGTGTCATTTTAGGGTTAGGGGTATGGTTAGCTCAGAGGGTTAGGGGTATGGTTAGCTCAGAGGGTTAGGGTTAGGGGTATGGTTAGCTCAGAGGGGTATGGTTAGGGGTATGGTTATCTCAGAGGGTTAGGGGTATGGTTAGCTTAGAGGGTTAGGGGTATGGTTAGCTTAGAGGGTTAGGGTTAGGGGTATGGTTAGCTCAGAGGGTTAGGGTTAGGGGTATGGTTAGCTCAGAGGGTTAGGGTTAGGGGTATGGTTAGCTCAGAGGGTTAGGGTTAGGGGTATGGTTAGCTCAGAGGTTTAGGGTTAGGGGTATGGTTAGCTCAGAGGGTTAGGGTTAGGGGTATGGTTAGCTCAGAGGGTTAGGGGTATGGTTAGCTCAGAGGGTTAGGGGTATGGTTAGCTCAGAGGGTTAGGGGTATGGTTAGCTTAGAGGGTTAGGGGTA